TCAATTAAAATTACTGCCGTATGGTATGATATTGTGGGGCCTCCTGCTAAAACTGACACTATATACTGAAAAACATCAGAAGTTTCATGGTTTATTTATTTTTAAGGGAAAGGGGAAGGTATGTTACAATTTTAACCTCTTAGCTTGGAAGATTGATATTATTATTACTAACTCTATCAAAACTTAACATTTAATCTGCCTCATTGTCACAGGATACAACATCCAAAGAAAGTATCTTTAAAAAACTTGAGTGCATTCAATAAGGTGTAAGACGTATGGCCTTAGAAAAATCTCACATTTATTTTTTATACCCCATTTACTTAGTTTTGTACCTTTTTAATTTAATTCGAAATATCTCGAGTAAATTTAGTGAAAAAAGAAGTAGTTTTTAAAAATGAAAAATAGCTATATTTAAAATAAGTCTTATGCGGTTGCAGTTAAGTTTAAAATTGTATGTTACCGACTTGTTTTGTTTTCTGATACACTGTTTTCTGTTATATTTAACCTTTTTCGGGAAATGGGAGGAGTGTGTTCTTTGTTATAAATTTTCTTCACATGAATTAAATAAGTGGATTTATTTAAGAAAATAATAAAATATCCAGGTTAATACTATGGTTATCAGTGAATTACAAATTTGGCGGTTTCGTCTATGAAACAGAAACATTGTTTTCTTTGTGGATAATTTAATAATCATTGATAATTTTACCACAAAAGAAATGTAAAAATTCCATAAAAGAACATATTTCTCCTGATATACCCACCGCTGTTGATGTTGATTTTGAATTGTTTTTCTCTAAGAAAAAAAAGGTTAAAAATAAATAAAATCAAAAATGAAGATATTCATTAGTTATAAAGATATACTATGTACCTACCTAGTGAGTAATATATAGTTATATGACATACATATGACTTAGTATGTAAGGTGACGCGAAAAGAAATAAAAATAAATAAAAGAAAATATTATGATGTTTTATTTCACTCACCCAGCTATATCCCCAAGAAACTCTTTGCAAGCCGGAATGCTCCAAGGCTGCATTTTTTTCGTTAAATTCTTCTTCTATCTGCGAAAATAAAACAAAATCAATAAAATATATAGTTAAGTTAAAAAGCTATACAATGTTTAAAACTTAGTTATACAATTCTTACCTTGGTCAAATATTTCCGGGGTAATTTTATACTATATTTTTTTTATTACATAGGTACGTCCATTGAAAAAAGGAAATATCAATAAAAGACAGTTATTCCGAATATAAAAATATGAATTGCATTGTTCGTTAACATGGCATTGTAACTACACAATTTATTTGTGACAAATTCGCTACTTGACTGGGTTGTAAATAAAATACAAAAGGTGTATGCATAAAACTATTGTCCACAAATACTACAGACTTCATTCAACGTTTTTCAAAATATTAAAAGTTGAAATTATTAAACACGTTTTATTTTATAAAAGTTGTTGTTTGGACTTCATCCAAAATTTTTAATTATGACGTCACATTTCAATAATCTAGTTTTCGGTCGATTTAAAAAGTAGTTCATTAGACCTGTCAGTCAAGTAGCGGATTGCGGTCGTCCAAATCAAAAGGGACCTTATTGCGGTAAAGTTTAGTCAACTTTAGAAGGTTGCAGGATTTTTTATAAATTGACGTATCGAAAGATTGTACACATTTAGTAAATTGATTCATCCATTTAAAAAAAAGTAAAAAAAAATCGAGTTAGTTATTTTACAAACTGATTCCCGGAAACTAGTTACCGCCATAAGGTCCCTTTTGGTTTGGATGACCACAACTAATTGGGAAGGAAACTTATTGCAGATGGCGCTAGGCGCAACTGTGCCAAAACGCACCAATAAGAAGTCGTCAAACTTCAACATTGACTACAGTACCGTCATTCGAATAGGCCATATTTGAAAGCTGTCAAAATCAGGTTAATGCTATGACATAAGGTCCATTTTACTTTGTTGACATGTTTCATAGTATGGGTTTGACAGCTGTCAAATATGGCCTATTCGAATGACCGTACTATAATCACAAGGAACAAGCATCAGCTACTAAGGGACTTGTGAGCTGAACCAGTCCAGGAAACTAAACAACTTTCCCTAAGGAACATACATAGGACGAAATATGAAATGTTATGAAAAATCATTTGCCCCTTGAAATATAGCAAAAAGACTTGTAAGTATAGTTTTTACCTATTTTATAAACAATCTGTTGGAAAACGATATTTTAACAGTTGTTATTGTTATAGAATAATACTTACAGTAGGGCATATTAAGGGCAATAGGTCATATTTGACAACTGTCAAAATCATGTCTATTTTTCTTTATTGGCATGTGATTTTATTAAGGGTTTGCCAGCTGTCAAATATGACCTATGCGAACGGCCGTACTTTAACTTATACGTACCTACATATTCAATGATTTTGGAAGAAAAATTAATAACTTTTCACACTCAGTGTTTGTAAATACTTAAACTTAAAATAATAACACAGCTGCTTTTAAAGCTGTCTTGACTTTTACTACAATACAAGCAACCGCCCAACGGTTCCACCCACTGCTTCCCCGTTTTCCCTTGGGAACATGCAGTTTTCCCAAGGTAAAAGCAGCTTGTGTACCAGAATCTTTGTCTGACGTCGTCATATCATATATCTAACATTAGTATCTATATTTTAGCAAAACGGCAGCATAATATATCACATTTAGCTTGCTTACTTATTGCATAATAAGGCATCTATATCTATGCTGTTAAATTAGTATTTAACCGTTTTGGGACTGATGTTATTAAATATAACAAATTTAAGTAACAATACTTTAACGTATCTTGGCGTTTTTTCTCCGGTAGTTAGGAAGGTACAAACGCCAGCAAATCAATTTTTATTGTATTTAGGTAAGTTTTTAGGGTTCCGTACCTCAAAAGGTAAAAAAAACGGAGCCCTTATAGGATCACTTTTTGTTGTCCGTCGGTCTGTCCGTCCGTCTGTCATTCTGTCAAGACCCTTTATCTCAGAAACGCGTAAAGATATCGAGTTGAAATTAAAACCGTGTAAAATACTCAAGTTACGAAAAGTAAACGCTAGTAGTTGTGAAAAAATCAAGCACCTAACATCAAGTATAAAAATAATTATATCCGCTTATGCACTAAAAACGCGTGTTTTTTACCCTCTCAAGGGAATCAAAATTCAGAGAGTACTTCCAGTAGAGGTAGAACAATGAAAAAGTAGCGTCGTTTTAAAGTGCGAATTAAGGAAAAACTCAAAAAAAACCATTTTCATAAAAAAAATGGTTTTTATGGGACACAAAAAAAAATCAAAATTTAAGGTTGTTCAAGTGGAGCATCATATTATGCAATATAGGTTTACCAACCAGAATTATCTTCAAATCTTAGTACGGAACCCTCGGTCGGCGAGCCCAACTCGCACTTGGCCGCTTTTTTTAGTTCTTGTATCAATAACCAGTATAATTTGTTCTCTTAAATGGGTCGGTGGATTTACTGGCGATAGTACCTCTCTTACATAGTAACTTAAGACTATAATATTTTGTTCATATTGATTGTGATTTTGTTCATATTACTCGGCTTCATCATTGATTTATTTAAACTGTAATAAATATCGTATAGCAACACATTTGGAAGCAGAATCATCATCATCATCATCAGCAGCAGATCATCATCACAGCAGGCAAAATTTAAACCTGCGACCTTCGGCATCTGTAGTGCCGACGCCACAACCAACTGGGCTACCTGCAAAATTATGCAAGTGTATCATGGCCACTAAAGCGCGATTCCATCTTAGTCTAGTAATTAACGTCAATAGCTGGTTATAACTATTCGGATTGACCTATGAAGCTGAAAATCGGCATGTAGGTACTTCTTGACCTCTTGATCAAAATTAGACATGGAGCCCAGCGGGCACCATCCTCCTTAACCTTTTACCACCCCCCCTCCTTTACAAGGCGTAACTTTTGAAGTAATTGACTTGAAGGGTAGTTTTTATTTCATATCGTGCGTGACATCTCACTTAAAGCTTATTGTGCCCTCAAAATTACCCTTTAGGCCCCCCGGGGGGCCCAAAAGCCTCTAAAGTAGGGTGTCCTGTCCTTGTATGAGATTTTCTTATTTTCAAGTTATTGATTCCCAAGCGGTATCAAAAGTTGCGGAATTAGAAAAACCTAAAGTATCTTTAAATAATATTTATCTTTAGGGCTTTGCCGAACATTAAAAAACATAAACAAAAACAAACACAACACTTTAACGATCGATAGAGCCCTAAAGATAAATATTATTTAAAGATTTATTAGGTTTTTTGCAATCTGTGTCTAATTACGCAACTTTTGATACCTCTTGGGAGTCGATAGCTTGAAAATTAGAAAATATCATATAAGAACGGGACACCCCATTTTTCGGGCTTTTGGCCCCCCAGGGGGCCCAAAGGGTAATTTTGAGGGCATAATAAGCTTTAAATGAGATGTCACGCACGATATGAAATAAAAACTACACTCCAAGTCAATTACTTCAAAAGTTACGCCTTGTAAAGGAGGGGGGGTGGTAAAAGGTTAAGGGGGGTGGTGCCCGCTGGGCTCCATGTCTAATTTTGATCAGGAGGTCAAGAAGTACCTACATGCCGATTTTCAGCTTCATGGGTCAATCCGAATAGCTGTGACGTTAGTTACTAGACTACTACTGGAATAGTATTTGCAATGAATTCCCAGCTACTTAATCCCATTTAGCCAATGTACAGTCTCTCCCGCTCACTCATGAACAATCCAAAATTTAAGGTTGCGATTCTTTCCAGACTGTAACATTTTACAGCATTAATTGTTACTTTTCTAGGTGCAGCAACATTTATTCAATCGTACAACATAGTTTTTGTCCGGCTTGTCGGTATCAATCACAAGAAAATCTAAACCTTAAAAATAGATTTGTTCATGAGTTAGCGTGAGTGACTGTACATATTGAATTTGAAGTAGCGTTTGTGGCAAAGGTACTCTTGCAGGCTGAGATTAGGCCGCGGTAGCCCAGTTGGTAGTGGCGTCGGCAGTAGATGCCGAAGGTCGCAGGCTCAAATTCTGCCTGCGGTGGAAAAGAACCCCGATTCTCAGGCTATGAAAAAATGGTCCCAGTAAATTTTCACGAAATTAAACTATGTTTATGCTAAAGTCATCTCAACCGGCCTGATAATTACCAAAATAATAAAGTTTAAATTCTAGTTACCCTACCTTACTAAAACATAATAATATTTAAATTTCGTGAAAATCAACTGGGACCATTTTTCATAGCCTGAGATTCGGGGTCCTTTTGCAAGTTTTCCAAAACATGAATTTTCAACACAGGAAGTGTTTTAATAATTGGGTATGTATAAAGATATCTTAATCCTAAATCAGCACACGCAAAACTCTTTATTCTTGGCCTTATACGCCGCCTCCTCTTTTTGTAGCTGCACCCTTAACTCCTCCACGTTCCTCATCATCTTCTGGTCGGCCACGCAGTCGTCGACTATCTTTTGGAATAATTCGTCTGGAAGGAAAAAATAAATGATGAAGAATCTTGATCTAAGAAAGTTAACCTTTATACAGGGCGTTAGGGGAATGTAGTACTTTCCACAAATATTTTAAGAGCGTGTTCAACGCACTTACAAAACTGAACAACTTTTATTAAGAATAATTGTTGAGAATGTGAAAAAAAAATTACCTTCCATACAATAATGTTAAGAAAGTGTATTACTTAGTATGGGAGAACCAAATTAGTTTCGTATTTTAAAGAAAAAATTCTGAGAGAAGTTGTTCAGTTTTGTGACTAGAATACGGCCTTAAATTTAACTTTACGATTACATAGTGAGTAAAACCTATTTTATCTTTCGGGAAGCTATTCTAACGTGCCCTTCGAAACACTTAAATGTCGCTTACCAACATTCTCCCCAGTTTTGCTGGATGTCAGGAAGTGTCCGTGCAGTCCTTGTGAATACGTCGCGACCATATCTTCTGGAACCTCCCTGGAAACTACTCCGGAGTCTAGGAGATCTTTCTTCATACCTTCTTTAGTCCTTGTGAATAGCTATAGTACAGCCGTTCGAATAAGCTATATTTAACAACTGTCAAGAACATACTAGAAGACATGTCAACAAAGAAAAATAGACGTTGTGTCCTAGTGTTAACATGATTTTGACAGCTGTCAATTATGGCCTATTCGAATGACCATACCTACTATAGTTCATAGAAGAAAGGAATTCACAATGGCGTCCGGAGGTCACGCTTTCTTACTCGCACTAAAGCTCTTACATACACCAGGCGTTCATGCTTTCTCCCTCCCACTTATGGAACCACCGTCATTTATAATACCTTTCTTCTGTGAACCAGGTAGTACTACTACGTCTACTGGTACTTATTCTAACATACTCTTCGAAGCACTAAAATGACGCTTACCAACATTTTCGCCCGATTTGCTGGAAGCTAGAAAGTGGCCTTGTAGTCTTTCTGAATTATATAGCCACTATATCTCCGGGAACCATAACGTGCCTTTCGAAACACTTAAATGTCGCTTACCAACATTCTCCCCAGTTTTGCTGGATGTCAGAAAGTGGCCGTGCAGTCCTTGTGAATATGTAGCCACTATATCTTCTGGAACCTCCCTGGAAACTACTCCAGAATCTAAGAGATCTTTCTTCATACCTTCTCTAGTCCTTGTGAATAGTTATAGTACAGCCGTTTGAATAAGCTATATTTAACAACTGTCAAGAACATACTAGAAGACATGTCAACAAAGAAAAATAGACGTTGTGTCATAGTGTGAACATGATTTTGACAGCTGTCATCGCCTATTCGAAAGGCCATACTGTACCTACAATATCTCCGTGAAGCTATTTTAACGTGCCCTTCGAAACACCAATCTCGGGCCACTCCAATAAGTCCTATTTGACAGCTGTCAGAATCATTTTAATGCTTTGACATAAGGTCTATTTTCCTTTGCTAACATGTCTTTTTGTATGGGTTTGGCAGCTGTCAAATATGTCCTATTCAAACGACCGTACTGTAAAACGTCGCTTACCAACATTCTCCCCAGTTTTGCTGGAAGTCAGGAAGTGCCCGTGCAGTCCTTGTGAATACGTAGCCACTATATCTTCTGGAACCTCCCTGGAAACTACTCCGGAGTCTAAGAGATCTTTCTTCGTACCGCGCAGGTACACTTGCTCTTCGAAACACTACACTACTCTCGCTAGAGAAGGCCATATTATACAGCTGTCAAGTCCATATTAGAAGACATGTCAACAAAGAAAAATATACCTTATGGCCTATTCGAATGACCATACCTACTATAGTTCATAGAAGAAGGGAATTCAAAATGGCGTCCGGAGGTCATGCTTTCTCACTCGCACTAAGGCTCTTACATACACCAGGCGTTCATGCTTTCTCCCTCCCACTTATGGAACCACCGTCATTTATAATACCTTTCTTTTGTGAACCAGGTAGTACTACTACGTCTACTGGTACTTATTCTAACATAGGTACTCTTCGAAGCACTAAAATGACGCTTACCAACATTTTCGCCCGATTTGCTGGAAGCTAGAAAGTGGCCTTGTAGTCTTTCTGAATTATATAGCCACTATATCTCCGGGAACCATAACGTGCCTTTCGAAACACTTAAATGTCGCTTACCAACATTCTCCCCAGTTTTGCTGGATGTCAGAAAGTGTCCGTGCAGTCCTTGTGAATACGTCGCGACTATATCTTCTGGAACCTCCCTGGAAACTACTCCAGAATCCAAGAGATCTTTCTTCGTACCACACAGGTACACTTTGCAGTCCTGCAAAAGAATACACCTTGAATGAAAATAAGAGAAGTTGAAAAATTCATTAGCGTATAAAAAGTTTAAAATCTTTCTGCTAGATGTCGCTAGATCGTCGCTTCGAAACGAGCATTAGGAGGTTGAAAGATTCGTCAGGGTCAGCCGAACGCTGGTAGCTCAGTTGGCAGAGCAGTGGGACGGTACCCCACAGTCTCGAGTTCAAGTCCCGGCCGATGCTAATGACTTTTTTATTATTTTCATTTATGAGAAATATTATTCTCATAAATGAAAATATTGCACTGTAACTGCAATAAATATCCTAATACATTGCACTTTGAGTTACACTGTGAAGTAGAAAATTTGCTAAATTAAAAGAAACGTTCACTTTAGCAAAAATCATTTCAAGGTTATACAATTGCAAAATGAACATATAATGTCATTGTGCAAAATGCTCAACATTTCGTAGCCCAAAAACGAAAATGATAAAATACTTAAACTAAAACATGGTGAGTGATGCCGGCATAGAATAACATGACATGGATTTGAGAGTTCATGTGTTTTGCAATTTAGGCGACAGGCTAACAACCTTCACTAAGATTTTCTGAATGACTCTTAAACCTTTGTCAGACGAGGTGTTAATGGCCGTTTTTACAGCTGTTTACGCTTTGCCTACCTCGTAAGGGATATAAGCATGATGTACGATTTGACAGCTGTCAAATATGGCGATTTTCTACTCTTACCTCTTCAACGGTCTTCAGCTCTGTGAGCCAATGTCTGAGCCGTTGCCATGACAACAGCGACGACGGTTCATAGCAGATTATGGCAGCGTTCGCGCCGCGGTAGTACATGCGCGTCATCGCTTCGTATCTGTGGGATATGGAAATAAGTTAAAATATGAGTGTAACAACTGAATACCAACTGATTGAGAAAGTTGCAGGTTCAAATCCTGCCTGCAGCAGAAAATTTTGCAAGTGCCGTGAGTGAGTGGCTAAGAATACTGCCACCCCTAGTTCAATCAGGGTGTTTCGTAAAAGACGATGTTGTGTTTTTGACCTGGGCTGAATATCTGACAACTATGGTCAACCGCATGGTGGGGGTAATACCACCTACAAATAGCATTTCCAATAAATTGTTTTTTAAGAAATACCTAATTTTTAGACACTTCTCACCATGTTAGGTATTAAATTTTTGGAAAACTTGCAATTATTAATTTTTAGCAAAAGTTTTTCCTGCCTGCAGTTTAAAATTTTGCAAGTTATTCAAAAATTCATTTTTATGTTTTTTTTCATGTGTGTTTCATGTTGTGCAATAAAGGATATTTAATTTGATATTTACCTTTCACTGCCAGCAGTATCCCAAATGCCGACATTGAAGTCCTGGCCATTGGATTGCAGGGTCTTGGCACAAAATGCTGCTCCTATTGTCTGAAACAACATGTTTAAAAATGAGTGATCTTGAATAATTAAATAAAAATCAACTAGGTATAAACATATTAGTTAGCATTCAATGAGTTCTGGCCAACTCTTTGCGCATAGATAACTTTTTCGTGGAAGTGCCATGGGAAAGGCCTGAGTTTATTAGAAAACTCGTGTTTCCTACACTCTCACAAGTGTCACAATTTTAATATAAAAATTAGTTTATTGTGCTTTGTATGAATGAATGATTTTCCTGATTTGTATCACATGTGGCAATAGTAATTAACATTAATCTAGGCACCCACCCAAACAAAGACATTCATTTATCAAGTACCAAGAATCATCAAGTAACATGATTCAGCTAATAATACCTAATCAAAGACAGGATGTAAACAATGTGATTTCAACACAATTTCGTACTTACATTTTGATACGGTGTGCCTGAATTGAACCTGCAATTTACGAACCTAAGCACCAGGCTCGTCTTACCGACATGTTCGCTACCTAAAAGCACTATTTTAAAATCACAGCGACTCATTTTTCACATTTAAAAAGTCGAAAGTTTTCACACGACGAAATCAAATTATTGACTCGTTACCACTGCCCACTAGTCATTTACTGCACTCAATGGTAATCAGTGATAATTTATGGTAATAACCCTGGATATTACAATGAAATCACGCGATTTTTCACCCCGAAAACGAGAAAAAGATAAATTCGTGTGGAACAAGCAATACGCAAATAAACAAAGTTTGACGTTACGCTTTATTTGTTGTTGTTGTTGTTTTAAAAATTCATCCATCAGGATAGGCAATGGTACTAGCCATACAGCCTAGTCTTTTATTAGTTCTTTCTGTTATCTTTTCAAAAATAAGGCATTAAAT